ACAGAACCTGATGCAGGGCTTGAACTCATGAACTGTGAGATCTTGACCTGGGCTGAAGTCAGATGCTTAACTGACTGAGCCACCCAGGTGTCCCTTCACAGGCTTTTTTTAACTTGAGATCCTGAAATGTTCCACTGAGTTCTGGACCCTCCAAATAGGAGAAGGCTGAGGCTGAGGAAAGAGAGAAGTTTTATGGACTTGAGCTTCTGGAACAAGCCCCAGATTTAGTATAATACATGGCCATGAATGTCTCACACCCAGTGAACTGGACTCAGCTGCTGAGTATTAAGCATGTTTAAAGGTACCATCAGCCCAGGGGAGTCTGGGTGACTCAGTTGGTTAAGCATCCGAGTCTTGATTTCAGCTCAGGTCACGATCTCATGGTTCGTGAGTTTGAGCCCCACGTCAGGCTCTGTGCTGACAATGCGGAGCCTGCTTGGGATTCTCTGTCTCCCTCTCTCTCTGCCCCTCCCTCACTCTCTCTCAAAAATAAATAAACAGACATTAAAAAAAATAATAAATAGGGACGCCTGGGGGGCTCAGTTGGTTGAGCGTCCGACTTTGGCTCAGGTCATGATCTCACGGTCCGTGAGTTCGAGCCCCACGTTAGGCTCTGTGCTGACAGCTCAGAGCCTGGAGCCTGCTTCGGATTCTGTGTCTCCCTCTCTCTCTCTGACCCTCCCCCATTCATGCTCTGTTTCTCTCTGTCTCAAAAATAAATAAACATTAAAAAAAATAATTAAAAAAATAAATAAATCAAAAATAAAGGTACCATCAGCCCATTGAGGAAGAACTCAGGCAATAGGTGGTAGAAAGATACGGGCTCTGGAAGCAATCAGACTTGGAGTCAAACCTGGACCCTGATACCTCTCAGCTCTTTGACCTTCATCTGCTCCTTTAATCTGAATTTCAAAAGGTTGATGTTATTATATTCAGTAATGTTTACCTTTTAGGGTTTTGTGGGTATCAGCCCTACACGTGCTATTTTACATGCATTAGCCTCACAACAACACTGAAATCTAGGAATAGTATCATCCCCCTCTTCAGATGAGGAAACTTAGGCCAAGAAAAGTTAGAGCCCCTCCAGCTGGTAAGTGAAGATACTGGGCTTCTGTCCCCATGCTCTTACCTCATTACCTGGCACTCTCTGGTGAGGTTAAATGATGGCAAGGGCCTTGGGGGCAAAATCAGAACAGTCCACGGAGATCTCTTCAAGTGCCGGAGGCATTATTAAAAAGGGAGGTGCTTATTAAGGGAAGCAAGTCTGAACACAAAACCACTTTGATTTTTTTTTTTTATCTTAATGTGTACGCTTTGAAAGCAGGAACCCCTCTGAGATATCCCTAAGGATGTAGCTGTCTAGCATTTGCTTGAACACCATCAGTATCAATGTCATCTTTGGCCTCTAGCTCTGTAAGAAGTAGAGGGAGTAGTTCCTAAGGTTCATGCTTATGACCGTGAATGTGCCTTTTTGCTTTGCTGACTGGACACTCTGTTTACAGCTCTCAGCAGTTGGCAGCAAGCTCCTTAACCTCATCCTCCACCCTGACGGAGATCCTAGAAGCCATGAAGCACCCCTCGTAAGTGGCTCATCATGTGTTTGAGTGCAAGGGCGGGAGGATCCCACAGGCCTGAGCCATGGTGATGCACAGGCAGTGTGATTTGGTGGATTCATACCTGGTTGTATTGCTCACCAGCTGCGAGACCTTGCACAGGTTACTTGACCTCTCTCAGCCTCTGTTATCTTGTTTGTAAAATGGGATACTAGTGGCTAAGTCACAGGTTTGATATAAGAACTAAATGAAATAATTACGTAAGTTACCTAGTATAATGCCTGACAAATATAGGTAATGCTCTAAATGTCAGATCCTTCTTCCTTCCTCTTTTCCTTTTCCCCCTATAACACATGTTGTTCTGTCTTGCGGATTTCTGTGGGTTTAGGAATAGTGTAGAGAAATTGTGCTGCACAGGTCCTTCCTTCAGATATTCAATGCTTTAGTGGGAGTCCCTTCTTTTTCATGTTCTCTTTCTGCTTGTTGCCCTTGTACATACATACCCTGCTTCCTGCCCGCCACATTGGAATTCAGGACAGGAGTCCAGCTGCTCTCGGAACAGAAGGGCCTCTCGCCATACTGCTTCATCAGTGCAGAGGTGGTGCACTGGCTGGTGAACAATGTGGAGGGTGTCCAGACGCAGGCAATGGCCATCGACATCATGCAGGTGAGAGAGTGTGGGCAGGACCCACAGAACTGTCTGCTCAGACCCCCATGAAATCAGAGCTGGTCTCTGAAGCAGCTGCCCTTTTCAGTAATGTGATCTGTAGGTTGGGGTGAAGCTCTGTTTTTAGTAAGTGTGAGGCCTGTCTGGAATCAATGAACCCACAGGTTTTGATTTGAAAGACACTATACCTTGACTTAAAGATCTGTCAGAATTTATCATGAGCTGAAATGTTCTGGATGGAGTCTGCGCTTTTGAACCTTGGAGGAATCTCTGTAAAAGATTCCCAGGAAATGCCTTCCCTCTGACCTTGAGCCCCTATATCCCCCCTGGTCAACTCCTGCTCATTCAGGATCCAAGGCTCTGCCTCATGGACCTTATGGTGCCCTGTATTTTACTCTGTCATAGCACTTAGCACAACAGAAGGAAAATTCTATCTCACTTCATTTGTCTCCCACCTTGACCAGACTTCTTGAGCGCAGAGCTACCTCTTCTTGTCCATTTGCATATCATCATGCTGTTTGGCACATGGTGTAGGCATGTAGCAAACACTTGCTGAATTTAATGACACTGTTTAAGCTCCAGAGGAAAAAAATAGGAAAGGTCAAGTTGGCTGATGTGGTTCACACCATTCTGTCCACACAGAGGACCCCACTAGAAATAACTACCATGCTGACCAGCTGGCTTGTCATCACTGAAATGTAAAATCAGTAACTGACTTAAATATGTATGCAGTCTCTGGCTCTGTGCTGACAGCTCAGAGCCTGGAGCCTACTTTGGATTCTGTGTCTCCCTCTCTCTGCCCCTGCCCTGCTCACACTTGCGCGCGCGCTCTCTCTCTCTCTCTCTCTCTGTCTCCCTCAAAAATAAAAAAATAAACAATAAAAAAAATTAAAAAAAATAAGCATGCAATCCTCAGTTGTCTCTTTGGGGGTCGTAATAGGCAGTTTTGCATGGCCTGTGCCTTATTACATATACTCCTGTCTCTCTAAGAATTGAATTTTCTTATTTGCACATTGGAATGTTTCTACAGCAGTTAGAATGAATGAGCTGGAGGGACACATGTCAACATGGATAAATGTCTAAAGCATGATGTTGAGTGAAAATCCAATATACAAAATAACAATAGTATTATGTCCTTTATTTAAAATTTAAAATCTCGGGGTGCCTGGGTGGCGCAGTTGGTTGAGCGTCCGACTTCAGCCAGGTCACGATCTCGCGGTCCGTGAGTTCAAGCCCCGCGTCGGGCTCTGGGCTGATGGCTCAGAGCCTGGAGCCTGTTTCCGATTCTGTGTCTCCCTCTCTCTCTGCCCCTCCCCCGTTCATGCTTTGTCTCTCTCTGTCCCAAAAATAAATAAACGTTGAAAAAAAAAAATTAAAAAAAAAAATTTAAAATCTCATGAAAATAACTCATATTCTTTATCAATACATGTCTATATAATAAAATTATTAAAACCTGCATGAGAATAACATTATACTACATTACACTAATGCAACATTACACTAACCACTTATTTGGTGGTTTGGTGAGAGAGGAGGAGGAATGGGACATATTAGAGTCCATATTTAAGTTTATTTTTGAGAGAGAGAGAGGACGAGTGGGGGGAGGGGGAGCAGAGAGAGAGGAAGAGAGAGAATCCCAAACAGGATCCATGCTGTCAGCACAGGTTCCACGCAGGGCTCAAACTTTTGAACTGTGAGATAATGACCTGAGCCAAAACAAAGAGTCTGGTGCTCAACTGACTGAGCCACCCAGGTATTCCCCCCGCTCCCCCTTTCTTTTTTTATAAAAAGATCTGAAGTCAGGGCACCTGGGTGGCTCAATCAGTTGAGTGTTTGACTCTTGATTTCAGCTCAGGTCATGATCCCAGATTTGTGGGATCATGCCTGAGGTCAGACTCCATGCTGATTGTAGAGCTTGCTTAAGATTCTCTCTCTCCCTCTTCCCCACTTCCCCACTCTCTGTCTCTTTCATTCTAAAATAAATAAAATGAACAAAAAAAAAAAGGAAAGAAAGAAAGAAAAGATCTGAAGTCAGTATAAGCCAAATGTTCACTTTGTTCGAGTTGTGTGGTGGTGTACCTGGATCTTCTTTATATTTTTCGTATGTTTGAAATAATTGATGGTGTTATAATATGTATTTGCATTGTGTAATATAATTCACATCAGGAACAACATTTATCATAGAGCAATCATCATGGCTGATGAGGGGTGATGGGTAGGGTCTCCTCGATGTTTTGTCACTCCCTTGACTCCAGCGTATAAACGAGGGCTATACCTCTAAGATGTCCCTCCACAGGAATTTTAGAGTTTCAATGTCTCTCCTTCTAGAAAATGCTGGAAGAGCAGCTCATCACACACGCATCTGGTGAAGTCTGGCGGACCTTCATCTACGGCTTCTATTTCTACAAGATAGTCATGGACAAAGAACCTGACCGAGGTCAGAGATGAGGCGAATGCTGTTGCCCAAAGGGGCAAGTGTTTTTCCTGTTGGCTTGCTCTTTAAAGTGATGGTGCTTCTTGAGTTCCTTGTGTGACTTTGTATTCTAAGAAGACAGATCTGTCAGCTTCCTGAGCACTTGTACTTAATTTAAGGAGTGACAAGTATTTCTTAAAGCTATAGTATGTTCTTCATCACAGCGGTGTGGATGGAAGATAAACCTAAAAGAGGCCAAGGGATCTGGTGTGAGGAAATCCCCACGGGCCATTTTTTGGTTACCCTTTTTAATTACAGTGCCCCTCTCCACCCATCCAGTACAGGTGGTTCTGAGTATAACATGCCAGGCTCTAATCAGTAACTTACAGCACTTTTTACTTGTTAGACTCCATTTCTTACCCCAGAAAGACTATTAAATCCTAGCATGCTTTCTAAGATACAATTTGTCTTTTTTTTTCTTTTTTTTTTTTTTTTAATTTTTTTTTTTTTTCCCAACGTTTATTTATTTTTGGGACAGAGAGAGACAGAGCATGAACGGGGGAGGGGCAGAGAGAGAGGGAGACACAGAATCGGAAACAGGCTCCAGGCTCTGAGCCATCAGCCCAGAGCCCGACGCGGGGCTCGAACTCCTGGACCGCGAGATCGTGACCTGGCTGAAGTCGGACACTTAACTGACTGCGCCACCCAGGCGCCCCATCTAAGATACAATTTAAGTCTTTTTTTTTTTTCCTTTTAATGAGAAAACAATTCCCAAGAGGGGGACCAATTCCAGCAAGGTCAGAGCTGGAGACACTCACTTGTCCAGTCCAGCCATTGCCCACCAGGACCTTGGCTGGAAGTGACCCCCTCCTTCAGACAAATGGCTTCTCAGCCTCTGGATTTCAGGAATCATACATGCATCAGATGAAGCAGCTAGTGCCCTCTCTCTATGCTCTCTTATCCAAGAACGTGTCAGAAGTGGATCTGTGCAGGTGTTTTTCTGGTAGCCACTGATATGTCTGCTGCCACCTCTTCCCTTATGTTCCCAGTTTGGCCAATAGATACCTCTTTTACCTTCAAGTAGAAAAAAACCTGGTTACTATTACCTGCTCTGAAAGTAGAGGTCTGAAACTGAGGATAAAACATATTTTTTTAACTGAAGTAAAATTCATGTAACATAAAATTAACCATTTTCAAGTGAACACTGGCATTTAGTACATTCCCAGTGTTGTGCAACCACCACCACCTCTGTCTAGGTCCAGATCGTTTCCATCACCCTGAAAGGAAACCTTGTGCATGTTAACAGTCACTGCCAAACTTCTCTTCCCTGCTGCCCCTGGCCACCACCAATCTGCCTTTAGTCTCTAAGGATTGGCCTATTCTGGACATTTCATTTAAGTGGTGTCGTGTAATATGTGATCTCTTCTGTATGGCTACTTTTACTTGGCATAGTGTTTTCAAGGTTCAGCCTTGCATCAAGAAAATAAGCACTTTCTCTCCCCTTTGCTTTTCCCAGTGGCCATGCAGCAGCCCACTACCTGGCACACGACAGCAGTGGATGACTTCGCCAGCTTCCAGCGCAAGTGGTTTGAGGTGGCCTTTGTAGCTGAAGAACTCTTACACTCCGAGATTCCTGCTTTCCTCTTGCCCTGGCTGCCCAGCCGGCCAGCCTCCTATGCAAGCAGACACAGCTCTTTCAGCAGAAGCTTTGGGGGTCGGAGCCAGGCAGCTGCACTTTTAGGTAGATGCTCGACCCAGATGGGACCTGGGGATGCGCTGGTGGGTGGCTGAGGGAGAGTGGCAGCCAGCCAAGGGAACAATGCCATGTGGACCAGTATTAGAGCCACTGCAGCTATCATACTGGTACTCTGTTCGTCCGCATGGTGGGCTCCTGCACTAGCTCCCACTGGCTGCATGGGTCAAGCTCATTGTCTCAACCAATAAACAGTGTTAGACAGTTCTTAAATCAGGGCACAGTGCTAACCCTGCACAAATAGGAGAGAATAGACAATGTGGCCATTTTTCCCAAGAAGCATCCAGAATACAGGAGGTATGAGCTGGTGCTCGCTTCTGGTTTAGTACCCACCACAGGCCTTCCTAGGATCTTAGTGTCCTAGGATCTCTGAAGAAGAAGGAACGTTGAAGTTTATCCATTCTAAACACTCAGGCTGAGTGCAAATCTGCCCTCTGCCCTTCCTCCCCAAATATACTTACCACATTGAGGAATGTAAACTAGGAGTCTTCCTGCCTTTCTTTGGTCCCTGCATCTCCAAGATAGGGACAAAACACCCACTTATTGAATGGTGGTGGCCTCTGGTAGGAAATGGGACCCCTGTTCTCAAGGACTGGACTGATGGGTTGGCATAATGTGTGCTCTAGGCAGGGTGTCATGAGGTTTGTCTCAATAGCAGGTTAGAGATCGAGATCCTAAAAGGCCTCTAGAAGGAAGAAAGGAAGGAAATGTAATGTAGACTAGACTGCAGTGAAATAGCACCTTCTACTTAGTTTGCCTGGCGATGCCCAGCTGCTAGAATGGAAATGTTAATAGGTATTACAGTTTCCAGATCCTCAGATTCACTTGGATCCAGACAGCTTTGATCTCACCTTATAGCCTCACCCCAGCACTGTGAGAACTGGGGCATGGAGAAGACAAAACTGAAGAGAGTGGCTCCTCTGTCCCCCAGGTAGTCACGCCTTCCCCTCTGCCTTGTTTTGCATTTCTAATTCTCCACCTTCTTGAAATCTTTTGGAAACAAAGAGGCCACATACTCCCTACCTGCTAGTTACCAGTAGCACCCCACCCTCAAGTGTGACAGAATATCTCCTGACATTGCCCAACGTCCCTGCTTACTCCTTGGTTTGAGTTACTGCTCCTGGAAAATGCTTAGGAACTTTTCCCTTTGCGTCATCACCCTGGTTCTGGAGGCTATCTTGACAGTTTCTGTATGAACATCCTCATTTCCAGAGTCTCCTCCAGCAGGCTGGTAGAACTCTCTCTTGCCCACCATAGTCCCAGGCTCAAGATGAGATTCAAATCATTTCAGTTTAGCTTTGGTTAAAAGATACTTTTAACCAGTTTACTTCAGAAAATTGCACATAAAGAGGAGCAGCATATGGAAAAATAAGTCATCTGTCCAAAACATAGGGAGAGTAAGGGAGAAGAGAGGATTTATGTTTTCGGCAGGTAGTTTATTAAGCAGGCATTCTTCACTGGTGTCTGCACATGGGCATTAGGGGGTCAGCATTGAATCTGAAACTAGACAGTCTCACATGCATGCATATTTTCTTGAAGATATCCCTTTATTAGCTTTCCAGTGGCTCCCATGATTGTTACAGGGGAATTTCACTCATCTGCTTCTTTTCCCATCACCCCTCCAACAGGAAGTGAGTTTCTTGTCCTTTTAAACCTGACACAGCATTATTACTGCTAATTCTATCTGGTAACACCCCTCAGACCTTTGTGTTAAAATATGAGATACTTTTCCCCATCTTTTTTTTCAGGTTAGAATATAGACTTCTGCTGTGTCATTTACCTAAGTGAGAAAGATGAGTTGTTTTTGAATTGGACTGTCTTCAGTGTTGGGGTTTTTCCTCAGGAAAAAAATTAACATGATTTATAGGGGGAAAGGGGCCGATGTATCATTTATGACCTGCTCCCTTTTTTGTTCGTTTTGACATGTTCCTCTTTAAACATTTCTGATTCTTAACTGGAAAGCTGTTTTTCTCAGCAGAAAGCTGTTTTAATATGCCTGATGATGCTGCACAGTCCTACCTGCCCTGGCCTGTGGTGACTCCCACTCCCCCACTCATGTCACCCTGTGTCACTGAGCTATGAAGCCATAGGGGCATCTGAGACTCTGGAAGAAGCAGCACCAAGTCCCTTAAGCCCACGCAGATACCTTTTACTTCTCAGCTTTTTCTTGATAACCCCACTAGGTCTCAGGGTCAGAAGAGGCTGCTGAGCATCTTGGTCCAAACCCTGACGTGTGAATATTTTCCATCCCACTCCTAATAAGTGGGGAGCCAGCTGCTCCCTGAAAACTCTCAACAGGACACTCACTCTTGTGACTACTTTTTCTGTTATTGGGCAGCTCCGGTTGTTAACGTTGATCTCCAGTGTCCTACCTGAGACTGCACTCTCTCCTCCAGTGGCACTGATCCCCTGCCCAGGTCATTGCTAGCCCCCTCGCTGTGACCCTGGTAAAGGATGCTCAGTCTGCTCCTTCTGTGGGTTTGTACTTATTTACTGGGACTCACTATATCTCACTGTCCCAAGGTGAATAAGTCTGTTCTTATGGAAGTAAGGAGTGATTCAGAAAAGGCGCTGAAAGCTGCAACTTGGCTGGGGCTTACACCCTTGCCAACATCAGCCTGCTGGCCGCATCCATACTGTCAGATCTCACTCCTGAAGTATGAAGCCAGTGGTATCTTGAGCCTATAACTGTTTACTTGGCTGAACAGTATACTTCCTTGGGCTTCCTCAAGGCTTGGGCCACCAGCCTGTTCTGAACTGAATATGCCAGATGGGAGAAAAGAGATGTGCGAGATCACTGCTGGTGTTTGCCGAGTGCCCTTTCTTTTGTGACCTGGGCTTTTCACACGGGGGAGGAATATACTGTCCAAGACCAGAGAACAAAGCTTTCCTCCCTTGATTGAGGCTATTAAGTGAAAGGCTACTGTGGTTGGGCTATGAATCAGGAACACAAGGCAGAGATAAAAATTAGTTTTGATGAGACTTTTAGCATTGGAGTTGCCATGTTCTTTAGCCTGAAGTGTCATAGATAGCTAAGCAGTATCCATGGGAGTCATTGACTGGCCTCAGATTGAGCACTGGTGAGCTTGTAGCCTAAATGGGGAGGAGGGAAGAACAGGAGAGCTGCAAGTGAGGTGGCTAAAGGAGAAAGCAGGAGGTAATCTGTGACCCCTTGGCAGCCATGTTTTACTTGATCCTCACCCCTACTCTGTGAAGCAGCTGGGCGGGCACCATCTCAGTTTGCAAATGAGGAACTAAACCAGGGGAATTGAAGAATGTTCTCGGGCACACGGCTAAATGGCAGAGCTCAGATTTTCCAACTCGACATCAAGAACATTTCCCATTTTACATGTTCTGGTTTTGAGAGAATGATAAGCTGTATACCCATTCACCATCCTAAGCCATGGCTCCACTGCCTCCCAACAGAAGTTCATTAAAATTGCTGACTCAAGAGCTGTTTTGTCCTTGTCAGTGATAAAAGCCACTCAGGGCTTCTACCTGCCAAATGCAGAACTAAGCTGACAGCTTCAGATAAAGAGATACCATTGGATTCA